CCATGCTGGCTGGGGAATTCTGGGAGTTGAAGTCCACCCATCTTAAAGTGGCCAAGGTTGAGAAACACCGCTTTAAAACATCTGCCGGTGCAACACCCAATAGGATGCTCAGCAGTAACCTGGAAACCCAAGTCTTGAACTCCGAATGTTTGAGTGGGAGTAGATCGTTATATGCTTTTTCATAAATTTTAATCAGGATGCCGGAGAATTTTAAAAGTTTCTCAGGGAAGGAGAGGGTTGTTCTCTGATTTTTCTGTTTCATTAGGGTGCACCTTTTTCCCATTCCTATTTTGTGACTCAGCTATGGTGATTTCATTACTTCATATTAGGATTAATATTGCTTGCATTTCAGGTTCCTCAATGAGCCTTTGGATCTGAAGATGTTTCGGCAATGTTGTATTGCATGTCTGTTTCTAATCCTGCCGGAACTGGGTTGTTTTAGTTGGATCAAATTGTATGCTACCCTTCAAAGCCAGCGTTTTTTTTTTTTTTTGTTATAAATATCATCTGCCCAATTCTTCTTGGGCGATTCTTACTCTCTGGCAGGTAGCCATTTGCAGTTCTGATCCCAGAGCAGGACTGGTGGCTCTTGATAAAGGATCTGGGCCTTGTGTGCTGGTTGCCTCAGACTTTTTTCTCCTGGCATATTTGAACAGACAGATGGTGCAAATTATTAAAATTTTAACCTCTCCTTTGTAAATAAATAAATAAATGATTAGGCGTCTCTCTAGTAAGGCCTGCATGACAGAGCTCCCCCTCCCCCCAACCCTTCAGGAAGCCCCCCAGAGTTTTGGGTTGGGCTGAGACCTCCAAACATTTTTACCAAATTGCCGTTTTTGTCAAGACAGAAGGAGGCCTTATTTAATATTAGTTTAAATAAACAAACCGTTTAATATTAGTTTAAATATAAATGGAATGAGTCTGGGTTTTGCTTAACCCCATTTACTAATTGCCACTTCACATTTCTGCTCCTGCTTCACTACTCCAAGGCTGGCCACGACCCATTGTCTTGGAGAAGAGTTGCATCCTTGGTCTGCTGTTATTTATGGGTATATTAAGGAACGCCATATTCTGTTTTCCCTGATAAAGCAAGGAAACATCAGGTCCTGTCCAGGAGAAAGAAAACCAGTGGCAAGGAAGGACAAGCTTATGAGATAGGAGTCAGGCCATCTTCCCAACAGTCCTTCTCGGGTGCCTTCCCCCCCGCCCTTTCCCAGCAGTCTGGCCAAGGGAAGAAATAGGGGCATGAAGTTTGGGCCTTTATGGAACTGTCATTCTTCAGGTAGTGATTACATAAGAAACGTTAGTTTTGAGTAGGGCTTTCCTTGATAGGCTTCACCTTGTTAACAGCCTTCCTTGATGGACTTAAAGGATCATCTTTCTTCCTTGAACCACTGGGCACGTACTCCAAAATTACCTGATTTGGGTTCTGCAGATTATCAATCCATCATAGTTTTCTCTTCCACATATTTTAATTCTGTAATACACTGATAAAATTTGAGTGATGGAATTGCAGATGAAGATGTATCCCTTTCACATAATGTCTTGAAATATTATTGGAGCAGCAGAAGATTCAGGCATGGAGCAGTGGCTGCCCGATGAAATTGGCATATGAGCTGAGCCTAAATCGGGGCCAGAAACTAAATCTGGTGGGTTGATTGAAGACGGGAGGGTCTTGAGGTCCCCTAAACCAAATTTTTAAGTAAAGTCACCAAAACCAGAAGCATTGTTGGGAAGCCACTGATGTTGCATTAGTTGAAGTTTATTGATATGTATTGACTTGGTCCATCTCTCAGCATTTTTATAATTTTAAGGTACTCTTTCCCTGCAGCTCGGCCCTTACTCAGAAAAGGCAGAGATCTCCACAGCTCCAGGGCCCCCAGATCCATGCTCCGTCCCCCTCTTAACTTGCAAAACTGCTACTTGTATAGTAGCTGCATGGGAGGTAAGTAGTCCCCCCCCCCCCGTCTTATACATAGATTCATTCACTTCTCTGATTGCTGCATAACCTATGATGAAATGAATTGAAACTGTCTGGAGAAATGTTGGGAGTGCCATCAGTTCAGTATCTGAAAGGAAATCAACCCTGAATTTAAGACAAACTCTGTCCACCCCAGGATTAGATTGAAATAAACCCAGACAGTGGACACCCTAGCTTCTCTATTCTTGTCAACCAAGGTTGCAACTCCAACCAGAACCGATTATGGAGCTGTATTTTCTCTAACCAATATGCACATATGACAAACATGTACATGTGTGTGCTTATGTGCATGTGGCTGTTAGTCCTAGACTACAGTTCAGAGAAGGGCAGAGACAGGACAAAAGAAGTAAACTGATATTAATTGAATTGGTGATTACTGATTAAAATTAATTGTCTGTGAAAGAAGGTATCCCAATTTTTAATTGACTCCCTGTGTGCATATGTATATATAAACCATTTACTCGCACGAAGCTCTTCTCTTGCACATGCACCCATGCACACTAGTGCAGAAGAAGAAAGACTGAATCTGGACCTAGTGAGCATGGACCTGAGATCATACGGTCATAGAGCTACAGGGGATTTTAGAGGTCATCAAGGTGTGCCACTCTACATGGGATCTACTGAAGCATTTCAGATGAATGCTTACTCTGTAATAAGCCCCATTGTGTTCAGGAGATCCCATCACTTAGGACTTTGAGTCCTGCTGAGTCAGAACAGTAATCTCGTTCTGTTGATTCTCTCTATGTGTAGAGGATGAGTGTCTACGTGGAGAGCCTTCCTACCATTCAGGTATATCCACCAATTGAGGAACCCAATTTTCACAAATGTTTGTGTGGGAAGCTTCCATGAATAGAGCCCCATGTGGAGAGTGACAACAGTAGGGCAGGCCTAGCATCTCTGGGGAAGATGGGTGGCATATGAATTAGATAGATAGATAGATAGATAGATAGATAGATAGATAGATAGATAGATAGATAGATAGATAGATAGATAGATAGAATGCTTGATCTGGTCCCCATGAAGCAAGGATGGTGCATTCTCTCCCTCTTCTGCTTCATTTTTTCCATATTCTTTTGATATATTTTTTTCTATTACCGTGTTCTCACTCAATATAAGATAATCCCATCTATACAAGTTTTACAAGTAATTAATTTGGGGGCAAACACAAGTTTACAAGTAATTATTTTGGGGGCAAATGTCCTCTTCCTTCCAGATAAATGCAATAATTAAGGTTTTATAGAAAGAGTATTCTGTATATCAAAAACTAAGGACCCTTCAGAGTGTCTGCAGTTGAAACAGGTGGGTAGCATGCTTTTGGAACATTCTAGAGCTAAGTGTTTGGGAGTGAAATTTGCCTTCTTGTCCAGTCTCCCATACCATTCCTTATCAACTACCACACCATATCTGTGTTTACAGCACTTCTGAATGATCTCTGTGACATTTTTTACTCCTTTGTGGATTTGTGATCCTTAGGAATGTCACCAAAATGCAGGATGATTGGTTTACTGTTGGTTTGCTAGCTTTGTATTTTCTAGGTGCTTAAGGCAGTATATCTAATAATCTTAAGCGATGCTATGAATTGTGAAATAACTGCTAACTGGATCAATCGGGGCAGAGCACACCCAAAAGTTGACTTTACTAGAGGAGAAAATCACCAGACGTTTGGCCTTCAGGAGCAGGGCTTGGTCTTTGAAGGACCAAATATGAAGGTCAACCTATCTTTTGATGGCCCAAGAGAGACACAGAAGGTCATTTTTCTGTTGCTGTTAGATATGGCCTCTCTGAAACTGAAGGTGATGTGCTCCTCCTTCCTTCTAGCAGTCCCCCTTTTGCAGAAAGTTTGGGTTATAAATCACATCAGTAAATGTGCCATAGCAATCTGCAGTTTATCAAATTCATCTGCAGTTTATAAATTCAAATGTTAACTACTAAACCCTTTCTTTCTAATTTCTCCAAGAGTCCACCATGTAATGGGGCAGAAATTAGTGAATACAGACTGGAATGGGGCCAAATGGATGGATCTATGCATGTAATCTATGCTGGCCCTCTTCTGTGCTACGAAGTGAAGGGACTTACCCCTGCAACTACATATTATTGCAGAGTACAGGTATGTACCTTTGGATTTGGGAGGCAGCATTTTTTCCCTGAGATTTTAAAACATGACATTATCTTAATCTCTGAGCTGTGTTTAGTGAGCAAAATAAGTTGAAAATGTTCAGTACTAACTTCTTAAATGATTCATTGCTCTGCAAAAAATGGATGCTGTCAGATTTCACCACCACCATTGGATTCTTCCATTACTTGGAATGCAATGTAGCCAAATTCCATATCCTCAGAAGAATAACTTCTGATGACTGGAACCCCTCTAAAGATCAACCAAACCTTTGTTGTCAAGGTAAAGTCTCCTTCAAGTCAAACTTGAGTCCTGGGGATCTCATGAATATATCCATGCGAGATTTTTGGCAACAGAAGTGTCATTGCCATTTCTTTCTTCTGAGATAATTTTTGAACTCCTTATTCTAACCTGCAGCATTGGATTTTCTGAAACTCTACTCCTGTTTTCTGGCAATTTTTTTTCCAGTACAGTATCTGCCAAAATCAACTAGGTGCTGCCATCTAGTGTAGCAAAAATGGATAACAGTTACACAATATTAAAATTTGTGGAGTTGAAAAACAATGTTTTTCAAAATATTGTTATGACATTTTCAGATCTCTTCTGCAGCCATACGGTAGCCTTAGTTGGAAAGTAAAACGTTGAATAGCATAATGTGTTTCAATTGGACTTTTTTCAGTGGCTCAGGTGTAAATTGGATACCACCCAATATTTTCATTCTAATTCAGAGTTGTATAAAACTACATGAGTACTAAGATTAAAAAAAACCCGGTGATTTGTGTTTCTTAACATCTATGGACAACCATGAAATCTCAGGTAGTAATATTTCTTCTCTTTGTGGCGTAGATCAACCTTTTCAACCTCAGTTGCTCGTGCTGGCTAGGAAGATGGGCTTTCTAGCCCAAAGCAACCGATTGAACTCACTTGTAGGATGATTATTCTCAGTATTATTGATCTGGTTATTTAGGATTAATTAACCAGGGGTGTCTGTGTATTTGTTCATGCTGCTTGGGAATTAGGGGAGTTGAAACCCATAACATCTGAAGAATAATGGTGTGGAGGAAGCTGTGGTCCTAGAAACAGATAGTTGACCCTTCACACTTTGGCTTCACACTTCTGCCTCTCTTGCTCTTCAGGCTGTGAATCTCGCTGGTGCTGGATTATTTGGGGAAATCAGCACAGTGACAACCCCAGCTTCAGTGCCGGCTGCGGTGGCAGTATTGAACCTGCTTGAAGAAGACCAGTTGGAAACCCCTCTTCCCCTCTCCACGTGCCTTGCTCTTCACTGGGAAGAGCCTTGTTGCCATGGGGCAGAGATTGTCGGCTACCACATAGAGTATGGGGAGAAACAAGTCTTAACGGTCAACAGAGTCACAAGCCATGTTCTGGAGAACCTGCAACCTGACACTTTATACAGGTGATCAGTGGCCTTTGATGATGGCCTGTTCAACCACCTATACCAACTAGTGTCTGAGGATTTTTATTTTATTTGCATTTAATACTACAGCCAATGTGGGTGGAAGTGGCTAGCATTGTAAGTCAACATTAATGAGAAGTGGGAAATACACAAAAACATGCTTTTATTTTTATTGAATTGCAGGTGTAGAGACATGAATTACTTCAAAATAGGAATGGCCTGCGATATAACCCTTTTTCAGACTTTTTTTTTTTTCTAATGGGGATTGCTCCCGACTCTTCAGATACTTTTTCCCCCTGACAGGAAGAAAGGAAGAGAATTCACCTTCTTGTTTCCCTGAAGCTGAGAGTTTTAAATTTGACTTTTTGTTTGTTTGTTTTTCCCCCAGCACAAAGCCAAAGGGCTGCACACCCATGTGGCGACAGTGTTCGGATTCCTCCCCCATTCTCATAACATATATTTATAGGAACATGACAGTCGCACTCTGTGTTCTCTGTCCTCTTGCATTGCCTTCTGTTGGAGAAGGAGAACCGGAAATGTTTTTGGAAGAAGAGGAGAGGGGAATCTGACGCAGGCTTTCCATCTTCAGCAGTCAGCCTGAAGAAGCAAAATAGTTTTGCAAAGTAGGGGAGATTTTCCTTGTGAGGAGTCACTGGAAGGCACAGCAATTTAGTCTGCTTGTTCTTGTCACTGAGGAAGCTTCTGCCAATCTGGCAAGCAATGATATGTGTTGAAAACTGACCCATCTGTAAAGTTTTTTTGTCAGGAGAAAATAAGGCTAGAACCCTTCTCCCTGCCTCTTAATTTTCTGTGGGGAAGGAATATTTTTGGATGGAAGAACATTGGAAAGAATTGCATGGAATATGTAACAGTGTCTCTCTTTCCTACCCTGTGCATCACTCCTTGACGTAAATAAATCAGAGAAAAGAACTTCTCCTAACATTGACTTTTTCTCTCACCACTTCCTCTTAGAATCCGAATTCAGGCCTTCAACAGTCTTGGAACTGGTCCTTTCAGTCCATCCATTAAAACGAAAACCAAGCCTTTGCCTCCAGATCCTCCACATTTGGAATGTGTGGTCTTCAGTTACCAGAGCCTTAAGCTGAAGTGGGGTGAAGGTCCTAGCAGAGCTTTAATTGCCAATCCCACCCAGTTCAATTTACAGATGGAAGACAGGCTTGGCAGGTGAGAGAAAACTCAGAATACTTTAGCCTCTTCATCTTTGAGTTCACATTGTAGAAGGGGGAGGGTTTTTTGGGTGGTAGTTCAAGCTGTACAGAAACAATAAATTTACCCAACTCTCCCATGCATGGAGAGCAATGAAAAGATGTATCACCTCCAGCGTCCTCAAGAGGGCTACTTATATAGCCATAATAGGCCAAAAAACATTTTTATGAGATTCCGATCATCCAGTTGAACACCTGGGGCTACACTCCTGTTTCCTTAGATGTCCTAGAGCAGTGTTGTCCAAACTTGGCCACTTTAAGATGAATGGACTTCAACTCCCAGAAT